ATTAAAGTAGAGGGACGACAGTTGGCTTTAAACCAAATTATTTTAATTATTATATAATAATAAATTGAATTGATTTAAAAATTTTATTAATAAGTTAAATTAGATTGATTTATAAAATATTAAAATTCATATCAAACCACACCGCCGATACCCATACCCTAAAGCAAAGATGTTATAATCTCGAACCCCACAAGTGAAGTCATGAAATACATCATATAAAATTCACAATTATCCTTAGATCAAGGATCTGAAAATTCTATTGAAGGAAAGCAATCTAAACGAACTGCAACAGATAACTAATTTTGAGCAGTTCTGGGGAGCAAGAAACTGAAGGGCTCTTTCTAGTTCAATCGTCTCCTTCTAGGTGCACGAGAATCGCCACTATCCACATCTGAAACCCTTGAAGGATCATTTCTTCTTCTCGAAGTTGATGATGAAAGCGATACCACAGAGTCTATCTCCACGGCAGTGTCCATTTGACTTTCTGAGTTTATCATGGCAGCAATGCTGGAAAAGGAATCTCTATCATCCACTGGTGCATGCTCTTGATTTCTTCCTATGGAGTGGCTTCGAAAATAATGCTCAACAAACCTTTCGGCTGAGCTCCGTGGTGATGACAATGATATCCTAGCAGCTCTACGCAGCAACCGTGATTCTCTTTGAAGCGGTATGGCACGATAGGAACCCTCAGGTCCAGCAGTGTTACCCTGCGTTAAGTTGACATCTTCTAGCAGCACAGCAGAATCTTGCTCAGCATGCATTCCACGAGATGTGAAAATCCTGTTTATAAAGGGACTAATTCTTTCTGTTGATTCTTGTGCTCCATTGGCATCCCTTGGAGGAGTCAAGTCACGGGTCAAATCAAATCTACTTCCAAGACGCCGAATCATCTCCTCCACTGGAAGATTGAGAGCAGTTCTTCGGATCGTTTGCCTGAAGCTTTCAACCCGCCTTGCATGTGGCCTACGAGGGATCTTGAGACCTGAGTCATCTTCCACCCCTCGAGAAGCATTACCACGACCATAAATTGGGGTTACAGTTTTAATTGTCACCTCTCCCTTGCAGACTGGACATTCCTTCGCATATGAATGAACATTTAACCATCGGTAAAGGCAGGACCAACAGAACAGGTGACCACAACACGTCACAACAGGATCCTTGGCCAAATCCAAGCATATGTTACAATCAAAAAAGCTTCCATCATTGCCACTACCCTTCTCAACATCATCCTTCTTCTCTGAAACATCATCTTCCATAAACCCATTGTTATTTTCACACATTTTTGATACATCATTTATTCTTTCCTCAGCAGCAACACTACCTTCCCCTGCATGTAATGTACCTATATTGCCTAAATTTCGCAATGATTGATCCAATTCCATTGAGATGTCTTCTGTTACAGTTGGACTTTGAACCGGATGCCATCTCCACCGCCTATGCCTAATAGCTTCCCTTATTCTTTCAAATGGGTCTACCCAATCATCCAAATTAACAGCTTCAGTCGATATCGATCCTGATCCTGCTTCAGGAACAGGACCCAAGTTCAAATCTAGGTTCATTGTATCAGATGTTTCCTCCTCCATCACAAATTCACCAAACCCAGAAAACAAAAATCTTCCTTTCTCACCTATTAAACAAAACCCAGATTATAAAACCCCTTCTTTCTCACCAATTGAACAAACCCAGATAAACCCTCCTCACAGTCATCACAAACTCACGAAACCCAGGTATAAAAACCCTAGCTTTACCACAAATTTAAAGAAAAAAATATCACAGAATCCAAACTACCTCACAAAATTTAACACCAAATTCAAAAGCCCTAAATCTACGAAAGAAAACCAATGTATGCAAATACAAAACCATTATTCTTTGGAACAGAAAAACCCAGATCTAAAATTCCAAGTAAAACAGAAATTGAAAATCCCAAAATTAAAGAAACCCTAGTTTTGTCATCAAGATGATGGCTTTCGAACAATCACTTCAGGGCAAAATTTAAACAGCTCAACAGCCAAAAAAAAGAAAAAAAAACGAATACCCATTGTGAGAATTAAGACTTAAAACAAGAAGAACGAAGACCTGGGTTTGTGAGCCAGAGATCTTAACCATCAACTGGAAGAGGAGGAGGAGGCTTAGTGCTCTGAGTCAAGTCCGAGCCAACCCGCCTTGGGTACTTTATCTCCTGGGGTCAACAACATTGTTTCAGAGCGAAGAAATGTAAAAATTGGCGAATTTAGGAAGGGAGAGGGCCGAATTGAGGGGGTTCTGGGTTCTCAGTGAGGGGATGATCAGGTGCAACAGTGCTTTTTGTTCAATTTTCTTGATTGTGACTGTTGATGAGACAAACGGTGATGATGAATTGTGAGGGCTCTGATGGACAGTTGTGATTGTAACATTGTTATGATGATGATTGAATTAAAAAGTAGTACTGGTTGAACTCTTTTTCAGCTGATTCCAACTGCCAATTACAGTGGGCGTGGACTAAGATTTAACCATCAGTTCCAGAGGTTCGGGTGTGGGTCCCTCTCCCGCCTCTAATATTCACTGCTTTCTTTGCCCAACCGTAGTAATATAATTAAAGGAGGTTTCATTTTTCGTATAATTTTTATATATTTTATTTATATAAAATTTTATTTATTTTTATTTATATTTATAATGATTAAGATTTACTAAAATTTTTTG